ATTCCGCACTTAGTATACTTATATTATATACACAAATATTAAAATTTTATAAGTTCAACTAAAACAAAAATTCTCTTCTATCCTAAAAATATTATTACAATTAAGCAAGGAAATATTTTATAATAAAAATTTCAATTTTTATCTTAATCTACCTAGAGGTTGTGTAACGACTCCCCCCTTCCAAAAAAAAAAGAAGACCTCGAAAAAATTATTATATTTAAAGGAAAATTTGGGTCAAATCACATCTAATATTAAAATTTATTATTTAATAACTTAGAAGAAAAAAAAATAACATAGCAAAATAAAAAAAAGTTTTAATTTAAAGATAAACAAAAAACGTTTCAAATTAAGAGGCGCGCAAATAGACACACACACCGAATTCAAACCCCCGAAAAAAAAATTGGGTCATATTAAAAAATTCTAAATTTTCATTTGTATATACAAAACATAAATTTTAATTAAATAATATTTTGTTTATAAAAAAAAAAACTCTTAAACAATATAAAAAATTTGAAAATAATATTTTAAAGAACGCGGGCTTTTGCTTCGCTTTTGGATATTTGGATTAAATATGCAAATGTATAACAAGTATATAGAAAGAAATCTGTGATTTGCCGCCAACATACCGCATTAATTTTCGTATATCTTGTATTAAATTCAGAAATGTAGAGAATATGCTCATACGTTTCATCTTCATCATGGAAAAATCTACACGAATGGTCCACAAAGTGCCCAATTAGTGCCAGTGATAACCAATTAATTAAATATTAGAGTTCGCCGCGTTAAAATACTGGATAAATGTCTATGGATGCTGGATTTTATTATATAAGGGAAATTTTTCTTTATATTATTTATAAGAACTCAACATTTTTATTATCACATTCAAAAATTGAATATAACACTTTATGTACATACGGTAAATACAATTTTTTTTACATAAATTTCCAATAAAAAAGATAAAAAAAAATTGAAGTACACTATATGTACTTATAAACAATAATGAAGATAAAAAAAATTTTGCGACAATAACGATGGTTAAAGTGACGACAACGACGACAACAAACACAATTAAAGCGACAACAATAATAACAACGCATAAAATTATTATATGGTGGTAATGACATACTAACCTTGTAACATTTTTTTTATTATTAAATTTTTGGAAATAATCTTTTAAAAATATACATATACATAACTACATACATAAATGTACTACGAAGAAAATAATTCAAAATTCGCTTATAATCTTAATTAAATTGCCTACATATCCTCCTATCTGTCAAATAGGATTTTTTTTGTACTAAATATAGGTATATATGTATATGTATATGTATGACTAGGTTAGGCGACACTTACGAGTATATATAATTTCGAATTAATATCGAATATTTCTATAAAAAAACAACTTAAAAAGTGTTCACCTTTAAAAAACATGTCAAAAAAATTATAACCTAAAAAAAAAAATATTTCAAATATTTAATGAGTAAAAATAAAAAAAAAATTCGCATACAAAATTTAAAACTTTTAATTGCGAATATGTATTTGTATTTTAAATATTAAAATTTTGTGGTTGACTTTGAGAACTTTATTGGCCAGGGCGAATAAAAAAACTTTTTTACAAAACAATATTAACATTTTTAGAAATTGTTTTTCGGCCATTCTCTCAGAGCTTCGGTTCTTATACGTTAGAGTTTGCCTCGCGAATAGGCGCTTTAGTTTAATTTAGGGACGCAAACACGAAAAACGAAAGTACACTCATCATTAAAAATGCTAGAACAAAAATGTCGTTTCTATTATACAGTAGGTGGCTATATTGTCAAAATGCATACTATAATATTATGCATTATGTATATTAAATTACAGAGAATGTGGCAACTTTGTTTCGTTACAAAACATCAATACTTCTTTCTCAACAACGATTACCAATTACAAACAAATTTGCTTTCTAATTCAAATTCTCGTACAAATAATTGAATATTATTTTGGAAATAATTAAAATTTGAAGATACAACATTCTCTAATTTAGTGTTAATAACAAATTTTTTATCAGTAAGTCTAACCTGAAAAAGAAAAGTTAAAAAAATCGCAAAATAAAAATTCCTTATCAGGCGAATTCAACAATTCTAATATAATTCGCTTTTTTTTTGCTCAAATTGTAAACATTGAAAAAATTCGCGAAATCTAGCTACCCGAAAACAGCCAAGAAAAAGCAAACAAAAAATGCGAAAAATTTTTGAGATAAAAAACAATTTTTTTTTTATATCTTATCATAGAACAATATAAAAAAAAAATACCCAAAAACAATAAAAAAAGCAAAGGTTTTTTTTTATCAAAACCATTGGGGATCAATGTCACTCTAATCTTACATAAGTTTTTTATTTTCATTATTAACTGCTTTTTATTTAGATACATATATGTACATTAAGAGAAGAAGTCTCTAAGGTAAACCCCGATTCCTCCCCCAAAATAAATATTGAAAAAGCAAAAAAAAAATGCGTGTAACCCTCCGTCTCAACCCTCTCCAATACCCTCCGCTATTTCATAAGAATTTAGAGGTAAGTACCTGTGTAAATGGTATTTTTGCGCTATTTAAAATAAAAAGATAACATTAAAAATCTCACAAATAAAAATCATAAAAATAAAAAGCAAATCAACTAATCTTTTGCGACGATAAAAAAAATTATAAAAAAATGGAATTGAAAAAGGGGTTTAAGTTGCCATTGAACTAAATAAAAAAAAATAACAACCGAAAAAGCATTCGAAAATAATAATAATAATAATTTGGAGAACAAAAACTAGGAAACTAGTTTTGTAGGACACACAAAAATAAATAAAAAAAAAAGTAATAAATTAGAGCACACTACAAACCTTTAAGTAAGTTGGTGACCTAAATTTTTTTACTGTTTTTGTTTTTTATAGTGGTTTTTGAAATAATTAAAGTTAAGTAGTATATTTAAGCAGGCAGACTGATCAGGTAGCAATTAAAAATAATCGTTTAATATTCTCCGAAAAATCAATTAAAGCATTTTACATTCAATTAGAAAGGGGAGGGTAAGAAGAGACGACAGGGGGAACTGATTGAGCTTTTTTGTTTATAAATATTTTAGTACTAAATTTTTGTTTGTCATCTTATACTGCTCTTCAAATCAATTAAAACTAGCAAGGAAGGTAAATAAAAAGAATGCGCTATTAATAGTATTTTAAGTATTTAGAGACGGTTTCTCAATTCTTAACTGAGAATTATTTTTAAATTCACTTCGGTAAATTCGCTCCAGTCTGGACAGTTCTATTTATATATGGATGCGTATTCTATATAAATTTTGACATTTCGCTGCGAAAAATCGCTCTGTTTGTGAAAACAGAAGAAAGAGCAAAAAAATTACAATTAATTTGCAAGCTTCCTGTGTGCGTCATCTACAAAAAAAAAAAGTTCCTACCAAATTTTATTAAAACTTAATATCTTTTTTGATAATAATCCCAGTTTACAACAATTTAATTTAAGAAAAATTTATTTTTAATAAAATGTTTTGTTATGCTCAATTAATTGTAATTTTTTACAGTAATCCAGCCGGACCCGTCAAGTTCTACCACTTCTTCCTTAGTCAAACCTACAAATGTTTTGAGTTTTTGCTCATTTATTTTGATATCCGCTCAAATAACTTTTAATAAGGAGATATTGTTGGCAAGTATAATAAATACATAATTATATTCACAACTGTATATGTATATATATATATATGTATACCTACATTACAAGTTTATTTGATATAGGAACATAAAAAATCCAATTTAATAAAGGCATAATTTATAAGAAAGTCGTACCGTGCTGTATACATACTTTGTTGCAGAGGAGATAAGAAAGAGCCCCAAAAATAATATTTTAAGGAAATGTATAGGTAGGTAAATGATTTTCATCAGGTAAGTATTTTTTTTTGGGACAGGTACAAAATATGGATTTTTGGTTTAACATTCTAATCCTGTAGTTTTAAATAACATGATAAAATTAAAATTTATAGTTATTTTTGGGTTGCTTTTTTTTTGCGTTTTGCTTATTGTGTAAATATTTTAATTCTCTTAATTCCTCTCTCAAACTAAAATTTCCAAAAAGTTAAAATTAACATTGAATTTTGTGTTCTTTTTTAGCATTCTACCTCCAAATTAAAATATTCTTAAAGAAATTTCATTAAATATAACGTTGAAGAGAACGTAAAGTTAATTTGGCCGGCAGCGTCACTAGACACAATTGATAAGTTATTGAAAAATGTATTTTAAAAAATAATTGATGTTTACAACCAATGCATGGATTGGCATAGAAAGTTAATAAGGTCTTTTTTTCAAAAATTATTCTATGTAAAATTACGATATTGACTGATGATAACGTTTAAATGCTTCATTTTACAAAAATTTTTTCAACTTGTGCCCTAATATTTCTTAACAGAATTGCAGGAGCCACACAATTTACTACACAATTGTAGTAAAATAAGTATATTATTTTTGGATTCTGCCCAACTATATACGATTGTTGAATTTTTTAATATGCATGGCTTCGTCATATTCACATTATTTAACAACTCTATTTTGTTTTTTTTTATTAATTTTAATTTAAAATAAGAAATGACATCTGTCATTCAATTAAAATCGGATATATTGAGCGGCAAATATTTAATTTTCTCAAAATCTGCAATATTGTCGATTTTACATTGCTGCAGCTGTCTATATGCAACTGAATTGAAATCAGTTTAATATATTTTGACATTTCATTAATAATAAAATAATAATATTTTGACATTTCATGTAACTGAATCCCTATAGCTGTGTTGTAGCAATAATTTGAACAGCTTATTATTATATTATGTTCGGACATAATGTGGATTGACACATTGTTTGCATAACAAATATTGAGTAATAAAATTTCAAAATTTTATTTTATTTTATACAATATTGTTTTTTTTTTTGTATAAGATCACATTATTTATGTTATTATTGTTAAAATACCTTACCTGATGATATTGAATTAGCTGAATTACTTCTTTGCTGATATTTAATATCATGATTTAAATTTGTTTGCATTGATGGTAATGGTATTATTGTTGTTTGTGATGGTATTTGTGTACAACCATTAACTGATGTTATAACACTATGTTGATGATTTGTATATTGTGTATCATCATATAACCATAAATCTTGTCCATTATATTCTGGTGAACCACCTAATGATGCCGGTGACATTGTCATTGCTGATGGCATTAATGTTGATGATGATGTTACTTCTGATGATGATTCCTCAAACATACGTAATGTAAAACCACCGTTATTTGACCAACGTCTTTTCATCATTTTTCAGAAAAAAAAATTCTTATATAAAAACAAAAAATGAATTCTTTGTTGTTTTCTTTTTTTTTTTTAATTTTATATAAAATGGAATTTTTGAATTTTTTTTTTAATTTCAAAAAAAATTTTGTTCTCTTTTATTTTAATTTTTTCTGTTTTTTTGTATATTTGGTATAAAACAGTGGTGAGATGATAAAGAACGAAGATATTTTCTCTTCCTCTCTCTTTATTTCTCTTTCTTTCTTATTTGTTATTATAGGTGTGTAAAAAAAAATTTTAATTTTCGTTAATTTTTGTTTGTTTTGTGCGTTTTCTTTTTTAAATTTTAATTATTTTTTTTTTGTTTTGATTTATAAATATTATACAAGAATTTTGTGTAGAAAATATATATGTATATACATATAATAATAAAAATAAAATAATAAAAAAAAATTAATATTAATTATAGAATTTTTTCTTTTTTAAAAACTTAACGAAATTTTAACGAAGAAATTTTTTTTTTCCTTTTTTGGTTTCATTTATAACTTTCAATATTTTTTTTACGTTGTTTGTAGATGGCGCTTTGATAGCGCATTTTGTATTATTTTAATTTTTTGTTTCGTCAGGTTTTTTCTTAATTTTTTTATTATTTACTTTTCTTTGCTTTTGTTTTTTTGTAAAAAAAGAAATAATTTTTTATCACAATTTTTTAATTTTTTATACTGTTAAAAAAATAATAACAAAAATTTTTAATTTTTCTTGATTTTCATTATATTTATAATAAATTAAAAGTAAAAAAAAATTTTAAAACAACGAACGAACGGCGATTAATTTCGAATTTCGATGTTTTATTTTTTGGTTTCCTTTTTCTCAATAAAAATCTTCAATATTTTTATTTTATTTTTATGTTTTTTTTTTCTTTATTATTGTTATTAATAAATTCTGATTCTGTCAATTAAATGAGATAACTGTAAATAAATGATTTTTTAAAAAAAGAAAAACAACAAAAATTTAAATTAATTTTAATTTCATAATTATTTTAAATATGTAGATTATTTTTATTAGAGATTAATCATTCCAAAAATTGACCTCGAAATTTCGAATAAAGTTTATTGCACTTTCGGTTTTTTTTTCGTTTTAGTTTTTTGTCCTGCTTACTCTTGTTTTTATATGTTTGTATATGTGCGATTGTTGTTGTTTTTTTTTAATTAACAATCAAAAAAATCCCAATAAACAGAAAAAAAAATCAAATTAATATAGAAAAAAAAATTTCCGCAAAAAATCATTTTCGCCCCTAATACAACGGTGTTGTTACAGTTAAAATACTAGTGAAGTATAACAGTTAAAGAATTTTTTTATAAATATATTTTTAATATTAAAAAAAAAGTATACATATATATACATACAATATGTATATGTATGTTTTGTGAGTGAAAATGAGAGGGATTTGAAAAAAAAAAAAAAATAAAAAAAATAAATAAATAAAAAAATAGCAATAAGCAAATACAATGAGTTGAGTATAACAGAAAAGGAAAAAAAAATGAGCAACATTTTTACAGTAAATCCTTATCAGTAAATGCACTTATCATTATCAGTAATATAATAATATTAATATAAATATACATACATTTGTATGTCCATGAATACATTGTATAAATACAAATATAATACAAATGCTGTTATTGTATGTTGTATATAAGCATGTTGTAAATACTATGTAGTATGGTGTTTATCTACGAATATAGAAAACATTATAGTCTCCCAATTTAAATTCTAAAATAAAACAGTAACGAAAATATAGTAACAAAATTAGTGTTACCGTTGCAATATCTATAAATTTAAAATTTCTTTTAGTAGCAGAAATTAAAAAATCACTGATTTTATACAAAAGAAAATGGTTAAGTATGATTGAGCAGATTGTGTTTTTTTTTGCAAAGCAATTATTTTTCCACTTACTAAGTAAGTAATCTTCAGCGCTTGATTACTACAAAAATTGTTCCAAGAATTCTAGATTCTACTCAAAACCAAATGAATTTTTAGACGAATCTCAAATCGGATGATTGAAGTTAAGTGTGGGTGACTCTTTAAGTTATGTTTTAGAAAAGCTGTACAAGAACAATAAAAATTAAATGCTACAGATAAAGAAGCCGAAATAGAACAGTTAAAATTGTATGCTATAGATATAGATTCCTGTTAGTATTTAAATTTAATTCAAAAGTAAAATTTTCAAATCTTCATTAAAATTATAAACCAGTATTGCACTACTTGTTGAAAATTCAATATTGAAAATCGATCACATAGTTGCTCTTTTAACCGCATATTTTAAATTTTCAAGAGAAAATGCAGTGGTACCGTTTAGTATCACAGAACAATTACAACCGTAACGGTAACTCTTATTCATCCTAATCTTTGAATATTGTGCAAATGTTGTATTTTATTTTACGTACTAATTTATAAAGTCAACACACAATTCATATTATTGTATAAATAAGTACATGTATGTAAGTTTGTGTGCAGATTTATATTGTAATTATATGGTAATGAATTTCAATGGTATTATAAATATGGTGATAATTTACTTTCTGTGTTAAGCTATCATTTCTGTATTAAAATTTTATTTTGTTTTTTTTTTTTTTCTACAAAAAAAAATAAAAATAAAAAAACGCATTCATATCTTATCAGAATTGTCCTTGATTTGAATGAATTTTGCTTTCTTCTCTACTTCACACTGTTTTACTTGTTATTTTTTTATTCTGTTTTTTTTCAAAGCTTTTAATTCATTCTTAAATTTTAGTTTCCTAATTAATATGTTTTCAAAAATTTAATTTATTTCAATCATGTTTCATTCTGTTTTTTTTGAACAAATTTCTAGTTTTTCTGTCAAATTTCTAGTATTTCTGTCAAAAATTCTGTTGTTTTATAAAAAAAAGGCAATAAAATTAAAAATAATTTCAGGTAAAATTTACACTACATATTATTTAATTTTAAGCGTTATTTACCAAACTTTGAATTTTTAGGTTTAATTCTAAGTTTCTTAAGGTTAACCAATTTGAAAAATTTATTCATACCCTTCATTCACAATAAATTCATAATACAAAGCCTAATAAAACACAATACACAATAAGAAAAAATATTTTCAATACTATTAATTAAGGGAAAGTTGGTTTATTTTCCAGTTTCATAATTTTTCGTTAAGTTTTATTTTTATTTTTCACCACGAATTCATACAACGTACCCATGTTTACAATAATATTTAACGAATAATTTAACGAAACTTTTAACGAAACTCCTTTCGGGACGGAATTTTTCAACGAAATTTTTAAAATGAATTCGTCTTCTACTTATGTATGCGTAGGCACACCAAAAATAGTTAAGTGAACGATATTGTAATCTTTTTCATTATTGTTTTTTTTCTTTCAAACAAATTTTTTTATCACATATTTTAAATTAAATGTCACAAATTTAAAATGCAAATATGTAATTGAATTTAATAATTACTTTTACTTTCTGCTCTTTTTTTTTTTAATTTTAAACAACAGGATATTCAACTCTAATATTATGCATCATAATTTTATTTCTATTGTTTGCTATCATAAAAATTAAAAATAAAAACTAAAAAAAATGCTTTTTTTTTTTTTAAATAAAAACACATAAGAAAAAATAAAATGAGCGAACATTTTAAATACACATATATGTGCACATACGTACATATGTGTACTCATTTACGTCTCTGTTTCACGTAATATAGAAAGTGAATTTCATCTAAAAATTTCATTTGCAATTGAAAGAGAAAGTGAATCGAAAACTAAATATATAAACAATATTTTTAATTCATTTTATATAAGTAATGCATAAAATAATTAACAATTATAAAAAAAAAAACAGAAAATAAAATCAGATAGAAAGTGAATTTTATAAAAAAAATAAAAATAAAAAAGAGAATAAAAATAAAAACATATGTGAAATGTGTGAGTACAGTAAAACCCCTATAATACGAAGTCTTGCAAGACAAGATTACGTAAGCTCTACTTTACGATACAAACGGTTTTAAAGTACTTTGCACCTTTAACAAATTTTTTTTTTGTATTTTTGGAAACTTAACATGAAATCTCTCCAAACTGTAATTCTCCTTGACATGTAAAAATTGTCACGTCATTTCTGATGACATTTACCTTTATAACTACTAAATTCATGTCCTTTTCAATACGAAATTTTCGGAAATTTTCGGAAACTCATTTTCCGACTGTATACATATGTATATGTTTCTAAGTATGCATTTGCAAAACAAACATATACAAATAGAAATTATATATTTTACTGTAATTTAAAAATTTTTTTTTTGAATTCTAATAACGATTTGAGGTGTCGAACAGGGAATTATTAGAAAGAAACGAATTAAAATTTTATAATGAAGTATTTTTTGAAAATCTTGATCAATGAAATTACAATCAAATTAACTTTAATAGAAAAAATGTAATGTCACCAATTACGTTCATGCAACATTATGTACATACATATACACGGCGTCATTACTAATGAAATGCATGTACAAGTGCTTACACAAACTTAAATAACACGGAGTACGATATTCTCAATTGCATTTGCATTTAATATTTTTTTTTTTGACGTAACCAAACACTATCAATACCAGAATCATTCTTTTCCTTCCTGTAATTCTTAATTACTGATTACATTCTGACATATCTACACTGACAGCAGAAACGACTTTAATTACACTTACTACAAAAAAAAAACAAATAAACACAAGCAATCAAACATTGAATTACGATCTGCTGCTGTTAAACATTACATCGTACTTACTTAATTATACACATGTGTACAGACATATGTATGTGCTCTTTTTTCCTTATTTCACCCATAATTTTTTTTTTCGAACAAAATTGCGTTTATTATCAAACTGTTTATTTTTTCTTTCTTTCTTATTCTATCTTATTTTTGTTCTATTCTGTTTCGTTATTTTTGTTTTTCTTTATTTTTTTTTGTCAACACAATATAAAAATTGCGCTAGCTCTCTGCTGTTATCTTTCAAGGTAAAGCAATGACTTTTTGATGTTGTTCAAATGTGGTGTGCTTTTTTTAATTCATTTTTTTTTATTTTGATTTCGTTCGT